TATCTGATGATCTGGTAGTTTGATCAACACAATGAATTACATTATTCTAGTGATGAGGAGGCTTAGCCAATATTTAGAAAATATTTTTTTCAAAACAGAAACTCACTGGAAAACAATAAGATTCACATTAAGCTGCTTTTGAGATGCTGCCAAGACACGTCTTAAAGGTCCTGATTAGAATTAATAAAAATATAATCTAGCTTTGAGATTTACAGTTAAAAATCCATCTGCTTGTTTTGACTAACCCCCCTCCACTTTTACCTGTATATGCAACACCATGAGAACAGATATAGAGGGATGGTGGGTGGTAGGGGAGGGAGGGGTGTCGGTCATAAAAGAATAAACTGAACTGACAGTGTGTTCATTGTGGACTCAAGTGAAATTAGGAATTTATCTGAACTATTTTCATATAGCATTGATTGACTGAGAGGCAGAGAGAGACAGACTACAGTATAGACATCTGCGGCTCCCATCATTCATCATGACAACATCTGTTTTTCCTTTGTCTCCTTTACGGTGAAGGTACCAGATCTGATAAGGGCCATGCCCCTTCTTAGGACGTCAACATATGGCAAATCCACTTGGACAAACTGTATTGCACCTGTTTCTTCAGCATCAAATCTCTTTTGGAGTTTCAACATATTATTCCCCATATTACAGCCAATCATGTAGCCTAACGCCACTGGCATGCAGGGCTCGAAGAGAACTGACCACCCGAGCAGATCTGGTACTTACAACAGCTTCTCTGAAGATACTGATGCATGAAAGAAGATGAGGGCTCACAGCATAATGAGCTGCTAAACAGAAATAAAGGATGAAAGGCCTCATCTGGTGTAAAAGACCTATTTTTCTGCAGAGGATTTCAAAACTTGTTTCAGTCTGTGAAAGAGTGCTTAGAAGCAATAAGAGGATGTCAGTGTGTGTGAAACGTGTGAACTTTGTTCTCTGTAGCATTTGTTCTCTGACATTTTCCTCTTCCTCGTTTTCTACAGCAGTTCACAGATCATATTTGTTGCTATATTGTGGGGTTTTTGGAAAAAACATTTAAGTTATCAATGAAGGGTCATAAAATGCTAATTTATTTTACCAGTTACAGTAATAGCCATTCAAAATTTCCCCACTGTCCTTGATGGGCCCTCGGCTGGTCCTCGGTTGGTCCCCTAAGATTCCTTTTTTAAACATCAATATTTTTACTAATATATTGTTTCTGTCATGATTTATGAACATTAAAATCTGAAAAGAAGCATCATCTCTTGGTGAGACCCTGTAATTCAGTGAAAGGGTGGAGTCAGAGAAAAAAAATGTGCAAAAGAGGGGGTCACTCCAATGGCTGGAAGCTGGCTGCCATTTAGCTGGCATGTGACTGGGAAGTGCAATTTTGAATGGCTGCTACTGTACATTGTCACTTACTTCTTTAAGACAAGATACAAATGTGCTATTAGCTCTGTGGGAATCCGCTGAGTGGGCAACCATTAGCAGCTAGCTAAGCTAAGCTACCATGTTTTTGTATGTCTGGACTTGATGCTATCAGCTGTAGCCTAAACTTTTTTAAGCTTTGTCTGGTCCATGTTGAAACGCATTCAGCTTAGATTGGGGGTGACCTTGGCGTTGGATGCAGGAGTTTGCCTTGCAACCAAAGCATTGTTGGTTCAAGCTCAAATGTTGTTTTGTCCTTCAAGTCTTTTGACTTGGAAAGGCCCTATATAAGTACAGGGCTTTTAGCATTTACCATTCAGTACACAAAAATGAAGAATCAAGTATTTATGTTGATTAAAAATGCTAACTATTGGTTATGGGGAGATTCCTTTAAGCATGTAATTCTTAAAATCTTGGATGATTCTTAAAAATATATAGTTTATCTTATATATTCATGGTGATTCAGATGGTGAAACTGTTCCTCCTTTTAAACAGATCTCCACCCAGTTTTCATGAAAAAGAGAAAATGAGGTGAATAGAAAGGTGCTGAGTAAAGCGACACTACACCTGAAACCCCACATCCTTCATCACCACCGCCCCACTCAGACCAGTTCCGCATTTAATTTAATAAAAAACTTCCCATTATCATCCAGTATATGTGCAGTTTCTGCCCAAATATTTTCTTTTTGTTGTGGATTTTTGTAATAGCGATAACTAGGATTAAATAAAATTAGTTTGTATGATGTTTGTTTTCTACTTCATGATTTAAAATCAGCATCTCTTCATCGATGCCTGTGATAAGAAGTTTGTTTTGAAGTTGTCAGACGTGTTTTCGGAAGTTGTTGTGACAGGATTTGATTAAACTTTGAAGCCGCTCAGTATAAAATATATATTTTGATTGAGATGAGAAATCTGCTCCCTGGTATGTTGAAGTACCAATAGTTTGCATCCAATCATTTAATTAAACAGTCTTAGTTTTTGGGAATATATGAGAATTATGCTATAATTTGTAGTTGCCAATCTGTTGCTACTGTATTTTAATTTGACAAACTGGATCTTCTCGCCGTTATATTCGTGATTGCAATTGTGGATCCTGACCTGGTCAGACTAGAGCAAAAAATAGCTCGGCTCCGTATTTTGACGTAACAGACAAAGAAGACGTATGTGGATGGTGACTGACGCACGCCGTACTTGAGCGGAGAGCTGATGGAGTATGTGGAATGTGGGGGTTACTCCTCACGAATGTAACCCTATCAACACTAATCAACACTTTGTGCAAAAAATTAGCAGGTTCTGCATTAGCCTATAGAAATTTAGAGTTTAAAACCATTCACTCAGGTAAGGACATAAAGTCAAGGAAAAAATGATTAGACCAGACTTGTTTTTTTTTGTTTTTGTTTTTTTTCCTGTTCATTTTAATGTCTGGTTTAACTAAAGGTACATTTGTTTGGACAAAAACAGCAATAACTGCAGAAATAGTTTGAATTAAAAGCTGCTTTTCTCATTAATAAAAAGGATAACTAGGGTTGTTTTCTCTTCTGCCAAAAACAGAGCCTTTGGGAATGTCATGTTTTTTCTTCTGTCACAAAAAGAAAATTGGACTTTATTGCTTAACCATTGTTTTCTGCAAGTTTCTGAGGAAAATATTTTCTTTTCTTAGATATTTTCCTTTAATAAACTTAAAAAAGAGAATGCATCTCAAACTCAATGAACTGCTTCAACTGGAAACAAGTCTTTGGATTAAGTTTGCCAAACATGATTTATTTAAGTTTTCTTCAACCTATAGACTTTGTTTAAAATTAAGTTGGATCAACTTGTTACCAAGTGAAGCAACTTATTTAAGTTTAAGCAGTATTTTGTTTTTAGATCATAAATCCAGAGTGTGAATTTAAATGCAGTTATCCTCCTCCTAATTTCCGGACCTCTGATTTTTATTGGATTTCTATTTAAGTGGTTCAAGTCTGAAGCTGTGGAATTAAGGGGGCCTTCACCTCAGTAGTACATTCCTTGAATGCATGTAGATGTACAGTGGGATGTTTAAAGGCATAAAAAAAATATAAAATAGGTTCAATGTAATTAATCAAACCGTTCTGCTCTTCCTTTTATTCCATTACCAAGTTATGAGACAGCTTGGTAGTTTGCGTTACATTTTTTTTATTAAATAAAAGCAAGAAGTAGTATCTGAACAGTACAGTTGAAGGCAAATGTATGAACAGAGTGTTGTACCATAAATTATTTCAAACCTTTACACTTTTCTGTGCTTCTGATTCTCTCTCACAGTCGATACATTACATATAGTATGAGTAGGCAGTGAAATGCTAAATACAAACTTCCTTCCTGCTCTGGTCAGCCTTAAAAATCAGCTTCCTCTCTTAGCAAACATGTTAAAGAGGCTTCAACTTTTCTCACATCTACAGATCATACTTTCATAATTGTTTGTCCTGAGCTTAACTTAACCACTGAAAATAAAATAAATATATATCACTAAGCTCAACAGTGCTGGGGTTCCATTGGGTTTTTTCCCAATGACTATTGACTCCTCTTTTTAATGCTTTCATGCCATGGAAAATGATTACAGCACCTCTCTCATAAAAGTGCTGATCTGCAGCCTACATCCATAAATGCTGCATTTAGATTGATTTGTTTGTTTTTAAGTTAATGAATAGGTTTTGTTGGACAGGAAAGGTCTTTTACAAAACTAAATAATCTATATATGAGGTCTAAAATAGTCAAAACTAATACCTGTTTTAGTAACATTTATAAAAACAGCATGTCAAAAGATTTTCATACCCTTCTGCTCATTTTTTATATTTCTGCTTCTGTCTCCTTGAAGCCGAGTCAGCCACGGCAGATGGCCGCTCACACTGAGCCTGGTTCTGCGGGAGGTTACTTCCTGTTTAAAGGGAGTTTTTCCTCTCCACTGTCGCTACAAGCATGCTTGGTGTGAGGGATTACCTTCAAGTCAATGAGTTGATACAATTTGCTGGTGTTAGATAGAACATTTTGAATCAATTTGACTGGATGATTTGGTTGAATTGTCTCTGTAAAGTGCCTTGAGATGATGTTTTGTGAATAGGCGCTATATATATGGCCCCTGCAGGCAACACACAGCACTGCTCTGTCTGTAATGAACCACTCTGTGTTGTGGTTTTGGTATTAGACGAGGAAACTTTCACCCTCTGGATGAAAAACTAAAAAAACACATTTATTAAGGGAAAAGTCCAGTCATATTCAGATTTCAAATATCTAAAAGTACTTTAACTATGAAATTAATACACACTGTTCAATAAATTATGTGTTTCAATTAGGAGTAATTTTCATTTGAATGTGCTTTACTGGAGGCATCCATGTTTGTCAAAGAACTCTACTGCCACCTACAGGTTTGTGACGTCACGGTGCGGTATCGGCTGTTGATCAAGTCCCAGTGCTGTATCTGGTGTTTGTCACAGCACGCTATTATCCAAGTCATCTTGAAAACGTTCTTTTTTCTAAATGTTGGCTACATATTACGTATTTTTTCTCTGGTCAGAAGTTCGATGGCAAATCCTCCCTCTTTAAGTTGGCAATCCAACGACGAACCCGTCCGTGGAGGAACATGAATCAGAAAAGTGAAATAACTCATTTTTTTCACTTTCATCTGATGTATTCCAACATCCAACTGCCATGCAAGTGGGCATTGTCAGTTTAACTATAGCTCTGGTGAATTCCGATGGTGAAGACCTCTGGAAATATTCAAAAATTGTTGTTGATTGCAGATGTGTCCAGTAGTTCCCAATGATTTTGCTTGTAAAGCGTGAAGAATGGCGGTAGGCTTACCACACTGTGACGTCACTGCCGAAAGATGTATATATTTGGGCAAAAATGGCTGTTCCTAGACTCAAGGATTGAGATCGGGTGGATCATCTAAATAAGTGGTCCTCCTAATTGTCAATCATTCTGGTGATATGTTTACGTAAGGCCTTTCTACGTGCTCGTCCCCATTTTCACTTACCGACTGACATAGTGGAAAAATTCAAAATCTTCTTTTGGAAAAGTAGGCTTGTATGAGCAATGCAAGCAGCAACATTTAAACAGAGCATGCATGAGGAGAAATGGGCTTGTTCATCCTCTCACATATGTTTAACAGGCGTTCACTCTCAGGAGTGGGTACAAGGTTTTGCATAGTAAATAGGGTGGGTATTTTCAAGAATTCGCAAAAATCCTCCACTACACCTTTAAAACTGTGGAAACCTCATTGTTTTCCAGTGATTAAGAAAGGGCTTTTTTATGCTGTTTTGAATAAAATGTTACTAAAAACTGAATCTCACTCAATTAATTTTGGGGGTTTTATGCTGTCTGTTATATCTTATAAGGAAAAAAATTCTTCATGGATGAATAATATATTATTTTGAATCTAAATCTGCCAGATCTGAATATAATTAGCGTTAGGGGGAAAAAATGGGCAGTGTAACAGATTAATATGCAAAGTAAAGCTTTGTGGGGGAAAAAAAACTAGTTCTGTTCTGCTATGAGATAGCCCTAATCAGCTGTAATAAAAAAACAAAAAAAAAACAAATTAGCTTGTATTGTTTTACTGAATTTTGCGTCATATCACTTTCATATGCGACGCATTCATTGGTTTGGATTTTGTGATTTATTTTCACCTAATTGTAATTTTTTTAAATTTACTCTCTTAGCAAAATCGAAGATATGATGTGCCTTTCCTGAGCTGGTGCTTTAAATACTCTGATCGACTTAGTGTGCTTCATAGTATTGGGAGGTATTTTTTACATGGTCAAATTTCCTCTTATTCTACTATTAAAGGCTACAGGAATTTTAGGAGGATCAATAAATGAGAAAAAAATATCTAAACCTATTAAAAATTCTCATTTGGTTGCCTGAGGCCTAAAAATATGTTCCTAAAAATCATCTCTCACAGCAGAACGTTGCATTTTTTCCGGCATGTCTCCAGTCCTTTAATTACCCCAAACTCAACAAGCAACAAAGGGTTAAACAGCCTCACACTGGATCCTTCTTCAGATTCAAGAAAAGATCCGACACTTTCTAAACCTTTTTCACAATCGCACAAGTTTTTCTAGTCTTCACATCCCAACTGATGCTCTCTGTCAAATACTCATCTTTTTTTGTCCCTCCCCCCCACACACACACACCCACACACACACTCAGAGCAGGGCTACAGCAACATCTTCTTGCTATTGTACAGACGCAACTCTCATCAAAGTGCTTAAAGTATTTTTTTTTCTTTTTTTTTTGTTATCCACTTCAGTTACTAGACTGGGGTGAAAACAGCAAGAGGGAGGCGAAGGAAAACCATGAATTCACAGTCGATGTTTAATTTAGCATTCCTGATGATTGCCTGAATGAAACATCGGAGAACCTGCTGTCCTCCAAATCGAACCACTTCTTCCAAACAAGTAAATAAAACATGTTTATTGCTCAGGTTTTTGTTCTTGTTTTTTCTCTGCTTCTAGAAAATATATACGAATATATCTATACTCCTGGATTACATCTCTGAACTTCTCTTACAGTGCTAACAAGGAAAACATCACACTATAAACAGGAAAATACGCACACGACACACAAGAGAAAAAAAGCCCTGCCTTCGTTGGGTAACTGGCTGTCCCGCAGCAGAGCTCTACCCACCCCCGCTCGCACACAGACACACACACCCGCCCACATAAGTTCAATCACATCTGCCATGCGCTCCACTTTACATTTGCCCACATGCATAAATAATTGCATGTGGGCACAAAGCCCAAAGAGAGTGGGGGAGGGGCAACAAGTATGGTTCAATGCCAACTACATCTTTCCATCAGGGTTAACAAGAGCGACCCTCTGGTTGGTTAGCTCCCCGTACTGGTGCCAAGCAGTTTAATATCCTTGTCGGCACAGTGTGCCGAAACAGAGACAACCTTTCTTTAACTTTTTAGTCCAAGTCCCCCAACTCTCTTCCTCTGGTCGTCTTCAGCCATGTCCTTCAGGCATCTTTCATCTGGGATCAGTCACCTAAATTAGTTGAGAGCCAGGACTGGGAGAGGGAAAATGTTGGCAAACAGAACGGATCCCAGTGGTCTTTCTTCTTTGCCTCGGTTTATTTAAAAATCTGTTTTCTTATGGATATCTCTATCCCCGGTGTAGGAAGTATAGAAGACAAACATGCGTCCAACACACACTAGTTATAGCGGCCAGCTAGTTGGCAGTCAACATGAAGTACTTCACTTGCAATTGTCAGCATCAGCTTAGATTATGTATGTTATCATTATATTAGAATGTTTAGTCTAAAGGCTTTGAACATTTTCTGCAGGATTTTTTGTTTGCTTTATTCATCCTGTTACTTTATAGCTTGTCCAACATGGTTATGTTTTTATGTATACACTAGGTTGTTGGGCACTACTACACAACATTTGACCTTCTTTTTAGCTGACAATTATCCTCATGCATTCAGGTTTTTCCACTGATCACAATATACGGGGAGCCGAACGGTCATTAGAGACCGTTTTGCGAAGGCGTACTCCTCTCCTGATTGTGGTCAACATGTCGCCAGACCCCTCGGCCCCAGCTGTCCCAGTCTTACTTTCACTCAGGCCACCTTGTGTAGTAGTTGGGTCATCTGGGAGAGCTGGGAAAGGAAACTGACCCTCACCAAGGGCATTTGCACTTGCTACCAATTCGCCAATCTTCTCAACTAGACTGTGCCGGTTTGCTGCGATCATCTGATCCTCTTCTGATCCAACTCCTGAGCCTGACGCCATGCCAAGGCTTCCGTGTTGCCGCGCATAGACCTCAAGCGCCGCCCCTGATCCCCAGGCAGTGTTGGGAAGGCTAAGGCGCTTTGGTGATGCCTTCACATAATCAAGCCCTCCTTGCCCATCTTCAGCTCCAGTGAAGAACACGCACTCTTCACTTCCAACTCGAACAGGCACAGCTCCTTGTGGCCCTCCTACCGCATAGCTGACTGTGCCAGGTGAATGTGAGTCTGTGGGCACGGTGGGTGTTTTAACAGGCACTATTGGTGGTCGGATAGGAATGGGCCCTGCACTAGACAATGTGCGCCTCACTCCTGGTTTGGTTGATGGGGTTCGACGGATAGTTGCAGTGCCCGGAGTCCCTGATCCTCCTCCACCACCAGCTCCACCCTGTTGTCCTGCTATCCCATGAGCTCCTGGACCAAGGACCCCAATGGGTAAGCCAGCTGTACTGGCTGGCCTTTTGGTCTGGATCATGCGCCTGTAGTTCTGAGCGATGTTTGAATGCCGAGGTATAGTGGAGGACTTGTCAAACTCTGCATGTCCATCTGGGCCTTCGTTGTCACCGTTGACAGAGTAGGAGTCGTAATCTGAACCTGTTGTATGTACAGGTGAAACAAAAACAGCGAAAATTAGTGAATTTATTAGCCACAATGTCTTAGAACATAATTCCCTCTAAATCTTGACTTCTATGTTATCACTTTTTTATTTGATAGAACACAAACTAATGCATTATTTTTAAGAGGAAGTAGAATGATACCGAGTTTTTATGCTTTTACAAATACCAATTGGAGAAATTTGTCCATGTGCCCTAAGCCCCTTCGGGTCAGTACTAGAATCAGCTCATACTGTATTTACAGCGATAAGTCTTTGTGTCGCTCACACAGAGCACAAATTTCTAGATGGGTCACCTGGCATTGGTCATTTAACATTTCTGCTCCCTTTTGCAAACATAGTGGTGCCATACATCCAATGTTCTTCGATGTAATGGACCTCAGAATCTCGCCACTGTATCTCTGTGCTTTCAAATTTCCATCAATAAAATGCACCCATTTTCTTCATCCATTGTATATGCCAGCCCATACCATAACCCCACCAACACCACAGGCAACTTGATCCACAACATTGACATAAGAAAACTGCTAACCCATAATACACCACACAATGTCATCTGCCCTGAATAGTGTAAACCGGGATTCATCCTTAAAGAGAACACCTCTCCTATGCATGCCAGCAAATAACAGCATTTACCAACTCAAGTCGGTTATGGCTACGAGGATAAACTGAAGTGAGATCAAGACCCCGGTGAGGGCGACAAGCATGCAGATGAGTTTCCCTGAGACAGTTTCTGACAATTTTTGGCAGTAATTCTTTGATAATGTAAACCGATTGTTTCAGCAGCTGTCCAAGTGGCTGTTCTAAGATGATCTTGAAGGTGAACATGCTGGATGTGGAAGTCCTGGACTGGTGTGATTACACTTGGTCTGCGAATATGATGCGATGTGTTTTATTTTATAACCAGGTCCGTCTTCCTGTCAGACCCATAAAATTGCTGCTAAATAGTCAGAGTAAAAAAGGCCTAGGGTCTTTCTCAGTCGGACCCTCGCAAGCCCCTTGCATAATATTATGTCAGGTGTGATCATGCCAATTGACTTTCAATGAGTGCTAAATGCCACAACCTCATCCGACACGATTTTTTGTCAAATTGGACGCAAAATCAAATTTAGTGTGTTCTCTGTCTCCCCTTGTTAGGGACACTGTGGGTACAGATGCTGACAGCTTTTCACTTTAGTATTTCACCAAACAACCAAGCGACTTCAAAATAAAAAAAAACACAACCTTCTTCTAAAGATTCCAAGCATAGCAGAGAGACCATGAAGTGCTCCAACTTCTCCCGATCTCATCTGACCTGTTTTAGCTGCTTTGAAAGCCGCTCAGGAAACTTAAATAATCCAACGCCATCCTTATGGGGGTTGAAGTAAAATACTGCGACACAACGCAGAGGCATATCTGTATCTCAGTCCATGAAAACCTCAGCAACTCTCCATAACCTATCCATTGTTCCAGCTCTCAGTCATTCTCCTGCATTCGTCACTCCCAGTTTCTCCCTCTGTCATTAAGTGGCACCAGAGTCCTCTGAATGGCAGAGGTTTTTTTAATTAAAACAATTTTATGCGGGTGCCTTTAAAATTATTAATTTTATCATCTTTTATTATCTTTTACATTTTACAAAAAAATACTACAAAATGTTAATATTGTGTCATTTACACAGGAAGGTGGACTAAAACCCTAATCTCTAGTTCTTACTGGCCTTGAACAGGTTTTCTTCCAGTGTTGGTTTGTATCCAACATAGAGAAGCATTCATAGAGCATTACACCTCCCCCACCACAAGGCATAGCTTTAAGCTTGATGTATTTATACTGGGATTGACTTAAACACAGGTGGAATCCTCCCTTCAGGTGGCAGTTAATTTTACAATATTGTATTGAGGGGTATCAGTGTAAAATCAGCATATTACTATACATGCAAGTCACAATTTTCAAAGTTTTATTCAGGTAAGCTAAGAAGTTTTCTTTTGAAACATAAGAAAATGTAAAATACTCTCCAGGGAATTAATGCCTTTAAGATGTATGGTATTCAAACTTCATAACTAAACTAAAATATGTTAGGGGAGGGTTGGTCTAGTGGTTAGAGTGGTGTACTTGTGCTCTGAGAAGGTTCCAAGTACTCCATTCGATCCCCACAGCCTGCACTATGAGTTCCTGAGCAAAACCCTTAATCCCCACACACCTCACCAGCGCCACACAATGGCAGCCCACTGCTCCACAAGGGGATGGGTTAAATCAGTGGTTCCCAAAGTGTGGGGCGCGCCCCCTAGGGGGCGCTTCCCGCGCCCCCTAGGGGGCTTCCCGCGGGAAGCGGTATGGATGAATGAAGAAAGAAAAAAAAAAAAAAAAAAAAAAAATGCTTGACTGAGCATAATGGACAGTTGTGACACTGCAACCCAGATTTGAGAAGGATCTGCTGAGATTCTTTAGCTGTCCTATATC